AACTTGTATAATAGAATTTTTCAGATAATAAATTTAAGATACGAGGGAGACAAGGTATTAGATAGGAAAAGATTGCAAAGATTGCAGAGTTCACAAAATCTGAAACAGGAACTGGACTTTTAGTTCAAGTGTGGTCTTAAGGCTTCCTCGTTCATTGTCCTTGGATAAGTGCATTTGCCTTTTTGAGCTTCAGAATCTTTAACTTTGTCCTATCTTATAAATTTTTTTAAATGCTCTGTAAATTGGAAAGATCTCTACAAAGGAATTTATCAGTATTAATTTAGGTTTGTGTAATTCTTCTTTTAGTTAGCTTGCCTGGTACTGAAAACCCTTAAGGAAGGAAGCACAATTTTTATGTAAGCAAAGCTAAACAACATTATTTTTAACAAAACATTACAACCTGTATAAAGTCTACAAAAAGAGGGTTCCAAATTTAGCTCTGTTTTTTTTTAACAATCTTGAGATACATTATGAAATAATTTGACTGATTAACATAACTTTAAGATACTAGACTTATAAATATAAATCATAATCAAATTTCAGTTCATTAAATTCTTATATGTAATTTAATGTGTATAAAAAGAAGTGGAACAAATAAGTTATTTTTCTCAAAATGAAGTGTTTCATTTGTAAGACAAAAATAGAGTAGCTATCGTGATCTAATGGGTGATATAAACTGGTATGATACACAGTTTGTAAAAGCTCACTGAAATCTTCCCCCCTTAATTCGTCTTTGTATAAGATACTTATTACTATTTAAAAATAGTTTGTAAAATCTGAGTAATTTTTTATGACTCTTTCTAGAATACTAAAAAGGAGGAGTAGTAAAAGAACTGCACCCTCTTTTAAGAATACTCAGAATTTAATCCCTAATGTATAATGGGTTGTCCAGTATTTTAGTGTCTAAAATGAGCAGAAAATGGTATATCCCCTTGGTCAACCATGTGTAACAATCTCCAAAAGCACATGAGTTTGGGGAAGGTCTGTTAACTTGCTGATTTACTTGTGTGTGTCATACTTATGAATTTTAAGAATGGGTTCTCTTCATACTTTACAAAGAATTGCCTACATTTGTTGAATAATTGTACTTGTGAGCATACCTACTTAAAAAAAAATTACTGAAGGCATTTTTATAGCTCATTGACGTGGAGTAGGCCTGTACTATATGTTCCATTCATGGCTGCCTCCTGATTTGTAGCATGGCCAGGCGGGGTTCTTTAATTGAGTAACTCAGGGTTCCCACAACCCTGGTCAGAATTTAAGTGAGTCAATGAACAGCTTGCACCTGCCTCAATCTTGAAAGTAGTGAATGACATGGTAGGCATGTTGATTTGGCTCTTTTTAAGAATGAAATTATTTATATTATGAAAAAGTAGTAATGTCATGGCAACATAAGGCCAATTCCTATTTTAGTATATATTACTAAGGCACAAACTATAAGTACTCTAAGGGTAAAATATAATTGGATTAGTTCTTTGTACTTTAGGATCCTTGTGAAGCGCCTGACACCTAAGTGGTGCTCAATGAAAAAGAAACAAGATAATTCAACAAATAAATGAGTAGATAAGCTATTTAGTCTACCCTAATAACTCTAAAACACTTTTTTTATATACATAATTTATGCTTTCAGAAAAAAAGTAAAATTAAAGGAAAAAATCTCAAAGGGCAAAATATTACATTGATTTATAATTTAGGAGATGCCACCATTGAGAGTCAGTGAGATTTGTGGAGTAACTGAGAAAAATGCAAACAACGACATCCAATTTATAAACAGTAACATGTATGAGGACTTACCTATTTGTTCCTCTCACCAGACTGTGGCCCAGGCATCATTCCTTATTTGCTGTTCACTCCTGGGGCATAACAGCCCAGGGCAAACACACAATAGAAATTCAATAGATGTTGAGTGAATAGAAAGAGAGGCATATTATTTTCACTTGTCATGATAAACATGTATTTATTTTAAAATGTCATTTATGAATATGTACTTTTATAAATCATGTAAGATTATGAGAGGGCTTATAACAATGACTTTTCTGAAGTTCCTTTAGGATCTTGTACCAAATTACCCTCAATTATAAATATTAAATGCCACATGGATCATTAAGCTATGACTCCCTGGTAATTATTTGACTAGCCAACTTATCTGGTCTATCTGGGTGATTGTTAACTCATTTCTGTGAGAACCCAGTGACATTGTGGTTACATAAAGTTTTTAAAGATCTTATTGTATTGACAAACAGATTACTAGCAGAAACTGTTGTGATGCTAGTTACTCTCCAAAACAATTGTGACCAGGGTTCCTGTGGTATCCAGTGGGTAACACATTACTTGGGTGTTAATGAATTCAAGGGAATGCAATGCCACAATTAGTAATAGCTTTTTATTTGGAGTCCTCATTTTCCAGATAGGTCACATTAAACATAGCCATTAAACAATAGCATTGAGATAAATCCATACAATGTATGCTGCTTTTGTTGTTGTCCTTGTTCACCAATCTCTTGGTGCAGCTAAGAACCTTATGGTGCAATGGAGCTGGTATATGGGAATAGCCAACCTGCAAAAACTGGGGCCGGGAAAGTCAGACTTTAATCAGGTCTCTTTCAATTATGTTTAGAAAAAAGACATCATGATAGCCAAACCCTCATTTGAATTAATGCTCTGATAAATGCTGTCTGTTGTCAAAATAATATAATTAGACAATAATGAGTGGCATATATTTTGCCAGACCTCAGTTTACCTGTTGACCTCAGCAACTTTTAATCCATTCGGCAACAGATTGTAACCTGGTTCTAATAAAGCATACTGCTCTATTACTACATGGCATTGTTTTTATGGTGTCACTTTTTCAATAGAGCAGTGCCTAGATCTGTCAAAGGGAAGCCATGTTTTACAAGATCTCAGCTATTTAGGAAAACAAAACCAGTCAATTTACTAACCAGGAACTCAACTAATTTATTAGAGTGGCGAGCCAATCTTTGTATATTGCTTGCAATAAGGGTAAGTATGTCAGGTTAAGAAATAATATGAAAGCATTGTTTGAAATTGCATGAAATGTCTCTTCAATGTTTACTTTGGTATAGGTATAACTAACATTGATTCTTACTACTTTTCACTCTGATGAAAAGCTCTTTCATCATTAACATGTAATGAAAAGATTGTTTTGTTACTGATTTACTTTTAGTTCATTCGTAAACAATTTTTAGAACTTTGACTTCCTTATAAAAATGTCTATACATTTTTATTCTGTGCTTGACTTTAGTTATTTAAGGACCTAAAAGAAAAAGTATCAAATTATTAATTTTTAATGTGTGGGAGCTTTTTTGAGGGGTTTGTAAATGGAGGGTGTGAATTAAGACAAGTTTTTCAAATTCTGAATTATGCTGAAACCCCTTGAAACATCTCTTTTTGATCATGTATCACCCCTTACAGCAAGTTGCTCCCAAAAAGGGTGATTTTGGCATCTCGTAGACTTCCTTGGAAGCCAAGCAGCAGAAGTCTGTGATAAAGGCAGTTGCCAGCTAAATGAATAAAAGTGAGATTCCCTCAACTCAACTATAAAGGCTTAGAGTCCTGACTGCTGAATTACCACCAACTTGTAAATAAATAATCACTACTAAATACAGATAATGTGTTAAAAAGCTAACACTAGTAAATCACTGGTGACAGAGAGCCTAAAGGTAAATCCCTCACACATTGGCACAACCAATTCTTAAAATCTTAAAGTGTTTTAATGTCTTCAGACACATATACTAAATTGAACAACTGGTTACTCAAAGTTAAGAATGTTTTAAAAATAACCCCTACTCTCTTTGTTGATTTCATTTATATACTGCCTTAGATTTTACTAAGTGGCTTTATGTCCAGTAAGAGAGAGGCAACACTTGGTAAGACTCAATGGAAATTGGTTTCCCATCAAATTTCTGCTATCAAGCTAAATCAACCTGTAGTCTCCTGGCAAAAAATAACATAACAGAGACAACACATTTCAGATACATAAATTGCCCAAAATACAGTCAATTAGGTTTCACTGTACAAGATCCCTTCTTTTCTAATTTAAACATTTAAGAATAATAATAATAAAAAAAAAACAAGAGTAGAGCTTTGGAAAGGCTGTTACTAGGAATCACATACAGTTCTTGAGAGAATAAGGCTGATGGGAGTTGTCCACTCTTCCTTTCAAAGCAGTTTTGCAAACGAGGTACAATCTAAAGTCTTGACAGCATTTGACGGAAATATTTTCAATCGAATTTGTTGAGGTTTAAAATTACAAAACTTAATTCAGTTCAATGTTTGCATTCACTCTTGTTTTTGTTTTTAATATAAGGATTTTATGACATTTATGCTGTTTCTACACTGGCTTGGTGGCCAGAAAAGAAGGCACAGAATTCTCCACCAGTTTGCAAATAATGCATTTTCTGCTCCAGTGCACAAACAGCCTTTATTTAACTCAGCACCACATTTTCTAAGGTATGGGCTGGAAGCTGTTTATCAAGAAGCTGTAAAATGCCAAAGATTTTTAACACTGAAGGAATATGTCAATCAAGGCATTTTCCCATCTGCTATGACTTCTGCAAGTGCTAATTTTATTTTTCCCAATTCCTGAAATTTGAGGTTTCTTAGCCTCATATGGAAGTAAGTTTGAAACTTGCTATGTGACACAAGAAAAACGTGCAACCAAATGAAGGAATAGAAGGTGTATTGTTCTCAAAGGTCACCAATAAAAAGAACATGTAGCTTGGACCACTGTAAGGTCTTTTCGGGACTTTCAGTAGAAGCCTTTGATGACTGCTAGAAATCCACCACAGAGAGCAATAAGAACAGCATTGAGAAAAATGAAAAACATCCTGTTAAGACCCAGACCTCTTAAAAAACACTACACAATGCAAGTTACTAGGGCTGGTACCACACATGCATTAAAGCATTTTTCATGGTTTTGAAATAAACGGGAACACACATCTTGAACCACATAAGATACTTTTGAGAACCAATCAACAATATGATATCTACATAGTCAGAAACTGTATGTTATTGAGAAAACATGAGAAGTTTCAGGTATTGGTACAAATGTAATTCTTGCGATTTAGCATGACTTTAATAAAAGCTTCTACAAGGACTTGCACATAACCATGACTGACAGATGTAGTTTTTGACCTTTCAGATAGCTCCATCGGCTCACTCAAACACATTTTGAACAGATTATGTACTGTAGTACTTGGTAGACTATACATTAAACAAGAGACTTTGCTCTGAGGCACTGCTTCCCACACTCCATGTGGAAAAGGAAGCAGGAAAAAACAAAACTCATAGAGTTCGACAGCTACCGAGGCAACACTTGCCATTTACAATATAAGCCCAAATATTTTTGCAACACAACTATATATTAATTTAATAAAATACACAATATAGCTCTTAAACACTCAACAATTTGGCTCATATGCACTGAATCTGCAATAAATCAATAAAAATATGTCATTTGATGTAAACACATTGAATCTTCTTACATTTGCACACTTAAATGGTCATGTGATTTGTAGATGTCTAAGACATTTTCACTTTCCTGAGCTATTTTAGTGTCCACAAATGAGTAAAACGTATTAATCATGTTAATTTTCTCTGAATATCATTACTCAAAGGTAACTATTTTTCAGAACCTTTCTAGGTCAAATTAAAAACATATCTATTATTATTTGTATGTTTGTTGGACACTAAAATGCTAAAGAGGCATTTTTAAATCTTTAAATTTTCTTTTTCTTTAATGAAGTGAATTAGTCTATGTGTGTGCAGGACAAAATGGACTATATCTTTTTACACTTAACTTTTATACGACATGAGGTGTCTTACAAATGACCAAGTATTTTTTAAAAGATTTTTCAACTAATGATATGGAATGTTCTTTGTGTTTATATGTGTGGCAGGTAACTTTATACAGAAATGTTTACCACAAATACGTGTTAATGTTTGGTGTAGCTTGGACTACTGCAAGGTCTTTTCGGGACTTTCAGTAGAAACCTGTGATAGCTGCTAGAAATCCACCACAGATCACAAATTATGACCCTGCTTTGATTGGGGTTTATAGGTAAACAGTTAAGTCAGCATAAATCACAGAGGACAGTCTTAGAGTGATCAGAAATACTTCAATTCTCACACTGCATACCTTCCTAACAGATTGTCAAAAGGTAACTCGCCTCCTCATCTTCCTTTTTCTTCTCTCCTTTTTTCTTCTCTGTTTTTCTTTCCTCTTTGAGAATCATTAATCCTGTCCTAATGTAAGTTTGGTCAAAACAAAACCATTGTTATCTCTGAAAAAGAAATAGCAGTGAAAAGAACATACTTGTGGGCACTTCAGATGTTCACTCAAAGCCTTAAAGCAGCATTGGTCTTTCTTCATCCCTATAAACCAGGTTGTCACCAGGAGGGATCATTTTTAAATCAAAGAAGAGACAAGAAAATGCCAATGCTCCCCCCACCCCCACCTCACTTTCTCACAGCCACAGGGTCATTTCCCCGGCAGTCCTGCAAAAGCTTGTCAATTTCTCTCACGACTTCCTCCGCGTCCACCGACTCTCTGCCCAGATCCCTGCTGGGGTGGTCAAGCTGCTCAAGAACGGCACCCATCTCGCTGGAATCCCGGCTGGCTCTGGAATGCACATCTGCGAAGACCCTTGCCATCTGATCGGAGGCCATGAAGGGAGGGTCTCTTGGCTGCTTACTGGGCGACACATACTGACTGTCAGTGGGCAAGTACTGGCTGCTTGCTTCCGCCAGGGCTCCCGTTTTTGCTTCACAACCATCCAGAGAGCCTTTCGTTGAGGTGCAGGGCTCCATGCATGCCTTGGTTGGACTGCTTGATGCTGAGGGGACCTCTTGGAGGAGAGGGCTCAGGGCACGTTTGGCTTTTAAATAAGGTTTAACATTGGCAATGAGAATAGTGTGCTCTCGCTTGTCTTTTCCAAATGTACAAAAAGTCTTTTTCCCAGTGGGATTCACAGTTTCATAAGTCTCAGTCTCAACATTAGCTTCAACTGTGGGTACAAAGAGATTTGTGCGGTAATCTGCATTTTCAGCCTGATTGGCTGCAGGGAACTGTGGCATCCAACACCTGTCAGAATGACCAAGCACTCGGCATTCATCTGTGCAATTAACGCACTCTTCTGGTTCTGCAAAACAAAAGGGAAAAAAGCAAATCCGATCATTAGGGTTGCGTTTCCATTTCTACCAGGGCTGCCCTCAGCTCTCAGTGGACTTGCTTGACCTCTGGTCTCTTAATTAAAAAAGGAAAAGAAAACAATAATTAAGATATTTCAGGATGGTTGCATAAACCTGCTGGTTGAGACAATGGTTTTATTTAAGTCTATTCTCTAGATATTAATGAATTCCCATAGCCTGGGAAGGAGTAAAAAGTGGCCGTTGGAGAATCATTCTCAGTAGACTAGAAGATCACTGTAAACTAATTTCCTGGGGATATCTGTTAGTTTTTGTTCTGTATAACCCATCATGGAAACGGTAAACTTCAAACAAGATTAGCAGGATTAATTTTTCAAATCAAATAACAGGGCAAAAACTGGATTGCTAACTTCTATAACAATTCTTAAGCTCCTTTTAAAAAGTATTTTATCCCTACTTTGTTTGTAATTGTTATATTGGTGACAGTCATAAAATAAAAGGTTTCCTTAAAAGTCTACTTTTCTTACTGAGAATAGCAAATGGAATTTTCTAACAGAATATGTTATGAATAAGCTTGTCAAAAAGTGCACATTCCTATTTTATTAGATAGGCATATGTATCATGTAATCAGTTTTCTTTAGCTTTTTGTTTGTGGTGTAAGTAGGTGAAAATGGATTTAGTCAACTTTTTTAGTTCAGAATGAATGACAAATCATGATTTCTATTTTAAATGATAATGCTTTCTGTGAGAATTTTTGCTTCTCTTTTTTGCCAATAGGCATTTAGTGATTCTAAATAAAGCATTCTTTAATGATCCCTATTTCAGAGATGCTGAACAAGAAAATAAGAAAGAAAACTCCTTCATTATGACAACAGCTGCATACTTCCATGACCCCAATATTTTAAAATATAATTTTGAACTACATTTTCCTAGTTGTCCTTTACAGTTACAAATGGTTATTCCTCTTAATGTTTAATTATCCTTTTTAAGTCAGGAAAAGGACCTTTTTTTTTTTTCAGGAGAGGATATTTACAATTTACTTCTATGTGATGGGAATAGAATTCCCTACACATTTTGGAACCCTTGGGATTGGCATTTAATTGATGCGAGAAGATCCTTGTGAATTTATAGCATCATGTGCAAGGAAAAAAGTTCACAGGAAAGATATTTAAAATATGAAGCACCAAATTTAGTAGTTTTGATAAATTTATACAGTTACTTTACAAAGTCATAAATAAAATGCATTCACATTTAAAACAAACAAATAGTTCCCTCTCCAACAAAGAAAAAAATAAACCACAGCTTGATTTATCTCAGAAGGTTTTAGGATCAAATAATTTCCTATGAGACTAACATTTTTTAGAAAGCTATCAAAATGATGTCTTGACAGAACAAAAATACTATGGCATTTCATTGCATGTATCACTCACACTTGTGAAATATTTAGAAAGTATTTAGGTAGCTTGCCTATACTTTATTTTTTTTCATGTTTTTAAAAGTCTATTTACCTGTGAGTAAATAAAATATGTTAAAGTTTATTATGTAATACAGGCAAGAGTGCTGAAATGTAGTTTCCAATAGAACTTTTACCCAGAGACTCAAATATTATCTGACTTGAAAATTGTTAGACAGATAGACACAAACAGAAGCAGAAAAAATGATGCACATAAAATTTTCTAAGAGGTCTTCCTGTATAGACTTAGAGGATTTTTTTTTAAAAAAAGAACATCCATAAAAGTTTAATATTTGGTATCTATTTTCTTTACCTATTCTGAATAGGAATCATAAAAATTACCTCTCTATCTGTGTCAGTAGGTGTTAGAAAAAAATATGTATCATTTCATTCATCCAATTTTGTCCTTCAAAAATACAATAGAACACTTTACTATCTATTTCACTTGCTGATACTTTTGAATCTTTTAGAGCTGAATTTTTTTTAAAAATTCATTTACAAATCATATGCTGTCTTTGAAACACACGGACATAGTTTTATATTCCAATCCTGACTGGCCTTCAGTTTCAGCCATTTGGATAGCTTAGCACTGAATAAATTCAATATGAATTTAAGAAGAAAGTAAAAGTGATAGAATAATGCAGATACATGAATGTGCAAATCAACCTTGAATTTGAAACCATCAACATAAAATGATTGTTTGTACTTTACTGCTGAAAATCTGCAGCTTTTTACTTGACTCCTTTATGTTACATCCTAGGGAGCAAATTTTGAGTATTGATTATGATACATTATAAGCTGTTCACCTTGTGATTAGACTATAATTTTCATGGCAGCAGTTCACAGGCAGTGAAGAAAATCAAATGGACACTTAGGTATGTGCAGCAGAAACTATGAGCATAAACTAAACAATAACTGCCAAGCATCAAATAACAATTTATGAGAGTGAAATTATTTCTGAAGTAGCATAAATAAATAGATAAGTAGGTAGGTACATAAAGGAAACAAAGATAGTATTTAATGAATGACTAGCTAGACCAAAAAATGGAAGAAAAAGAGGGAAGTAGGAAAGTTAAGGGAAAAGAAAGAGGGAAGATTAAGGGGGAGGGGTTGCAAAAAGGGAGTTGTATTAGGAGGATTTCTGTCATGTGTACCTTTTATTATATGTTTTCAAATCCCCTCAATAACCTATGTGTGTATAATAAAAAATAATAGTGTGGAATGTTTTCTCAAGCCCTAGAGCTATAAAGCTAGATAAACTTCTTCTGTACTTTAGAGAAAATGGATCCCAGAAGAGATATGTTGAATTATAAACTATAGAATTTTTTTTCAAACAGCAAATTATGGAGACTGCCACTATTTCCATAAATTAGTGTATCAGAAATAAATATCTGTATTAGAAAACAAAATTCAGAGACCCTGGACAAAAGAGTCAAAGTAAAAATAATTGACCCAATCTGGGAATATAAGAAAATTATTTACCTTTATTTTCATCCTTTCCTTAATATAACATGATTACCCTTCAACAAAATGCACCCTCTTCCAGAAAGATTGCATAATCCAAACGGTACACAGATGAGAAAAACTGAGAGATAAGCATGTTTAGGTTGCAAAGAGAATACATTTCTGAAGTCCAACACTACTGGAAATCTGGCCAGTTTTGCCTATAGGGAACTTTTACAGTGTTCAATTTTTAAAATGTATGATTCCGTGAAGGATCATGTGACAATCAGAAACATTTCATACTTGTTTAGTGTTAAAAATAATTTTCTATATACATACAGACCCATCTGACTATTACACCACCTCCCAGAGGGAGGGATCTAAATACAGTCATCCTAATTAGTTCAATTTTGCATCTTAATTTGTAAAATTAATACGATATTTTTTCAAATGATAAAAAGTCACTAAAATAACTATAGTACTTGCAGTTCGGTTGTACCATACACACATACACACACACAAATAAATCTTTTTTTTTTGTGATAAAATTGAGCCTTCTCCAAGATATAGTCCAAAATTTAAAAACTCAAAAACATAGCCAATGCATTCCTGAAAATTAACTATCAGTAACTGCCATAAGCAAAGTACAGATGAATCAATAAAACACACAGGGAAGCTCTATATTCATAATATGAAGGATAATATAAATATATAAAGTATGTAAAAATTCTATATATAAAACATATTAAAACATGTGTATATATACATATAACTATTTAAAGTCTATGATCTGATCAACAACTTTATCTCTGATTTTAGAATTTTATACAATGAAAATTAACTTAGACATAAAGATTTCTGAAATCTGCATACTCACATTGGCCAACGTATCTTAAAGCTTCCTCTTTCTTTAAAAACATAGACTAAGCAGTTGAATAACTTAATCTTAGAGGAAGTAGGTAAGTAATTATTCTGTGCCCAATATAGTTTCGAAAGAACTGTCATTGTGTATGTAAGGAAAAAAATATTTAAACAAAATATCAAATAATCTGCCCTTAAATTGTTGGATTTTAGCAATCCTCCACAGAGGTTACCATAGTTAATATTTACAGTGTGATTTTAACATGATAGAAGTGTTGCTTTATCATTCTGAACGCACAGCCATTTCAACAATGGTAATAGGTACTGGGAAGAGCAGGATGTGAAACCATGTTTAGAGCATGCGCAGTTCAACAATGACTCAGAGATATAATACAGCATGCATAGTACAGTGTGGGAGGCAACAGGTGGTTATCTGAAGGGTAACAACTCCCTCTCAAGGCATGCGCAGTAAAGAGACATAAACCACACATGCCTATCGAAGTTGCACAAAATAACGTGTCTATCAGAAAGGACATAAATAGGTGCCTTTCAAAGCTGATGCATATAACATATGCCTATGGGGACTGAAGGAAACAACATGTGCTTATTTAAATTAAGAAAAACATGCTTATGAGAAATTGTGCAAAATCAAAATGACATTGCAACAAAAGAAGCATAAAAGCAGAGGACTTCTGACCATGGACAATGGAGCCAGAGAGCGAGTCGCCTTGATACCCTGAACGTTCCACCTGTGGAGCATTTCCAGTGCTCTGACTCTGCCTTGGAAGACATTGACTACCCAGCCCGTTGCCTCCCAGAACCGAACCTGAACTTGACTCCTGGGACTCGATTTGTTATCCCCCGATTCTCTTGTGTGATGTTATTACTGATTGTTTCTGAGTGATTATTATTGCTATTAGGTTAGTGTTGTTATTAAGTTAGCATGGATTTGGAGTGCATCTGCATTAATAAAAAACGAGAGAATCTGAATTAACAACAGCTGAGAGAATAGCACAGTCACCTGTGCTGGCTCCTTGTAATTTCTCAGTGCCCACATCACCTGTAGGACTGGTGGTCTTACAGGCAGGCTGAGGGTAAAGCTTTCAGCTCTTAAAGCCCCAGTCAGAAGACATGAGCAGGGATCGAAGCCTGGCTTACAGGAAAGAGTACATCGTGAAATACACGCTCATGACAGTTGCCAAAAATTATTATCCATAAGATTAAAATTGGAAGCCA